CACTCTGTATTAAAAACATAAAAATCATTTTTAATATTTTAATATTAAAAATATTAATTATTTATATCCAACTGACCAGTATATTGTCCAATAGAAATGAGCATGGGTGTGTCCGGAGTAAACTTGTAAGTTTATCCGATAACTCAATATCATCGTGAAATGAATTTATATAATCATAAAACAATTTTTGAGAATTACTTTCATTCATATTAATAAGTTTTTATAAATATTATTTTAATTGTATTATAAATAATATGATTAAAGATATTTTTGAATGTTCAAATTATTAAATATAATAAAAATTTAATAAAAATGTTTTAGTTGTTACAATTATATAATATAATATTTAATATTATTAAAGGACTTAATGGACTTAAAGGATTTAATATTATTATTTAATGTTATTAATATTATTATCTTGCATTGTTATGGAAATTGTGATATAATTTTATTTTTAAACACTTTATTAAAAGTTATAAAAAGTGACTTAACATAATAATTGAAAATTAATAGAAATACAGGGTCCTTTTATTTAGATATTTAAACACAAAACAATAAATGTAGTTTTAATAAAATAAAAAATCTATAATACAACTTATATTTTAGTTATTCATAAATTGTATTGAAACTTTATTGCAATTTATTGTGTCATAGATTTAAATTGCAGTTTACTTTCATAATAAGCTTTTAAAAACTTATTATTTGATACTAAAGTCTCACCACCTTTGTCAGCCCTGACCTGATCCAGATCATATTGAATTGGTGCCTGTTTAATCTCGTTCAATATATCCGAGCATGATGGTCTATCCGATGCCATACCAGATAACATACGGCGTCCAATTAAATCCTTTAATTCCGTGTACCTTGATGCACTATATTAAATATTTAAAAAAAATTAGAATCATCTAACTACATAAAAATTTAAAAATTAACCTGTTAAGATTAATATTAAACAATTCAATTGCTATTAAACCAGCACTATAAATATCTGCCATGGTGTTATACTGACTACCCATCATAACCTCCGGTGCTCTATAATTTCTAGCACCGGCATCCTTAGTATTGGACTGTGAGGCTGATAATTGTATTTTAGCAAGGCCAAAATCACCGATTTTCAACCACTTACTCCCAACACATTTAACCAGGATATTTTGTGGTTTGAGATCCCGGTGTATAATAGGCGGGGTTAGGCTCTGTAAGTAGTTGACCCCCTCGAGTACCTCCTCGAGCAAAGTGAGCGTGATGAAATATTCAACCTGGCACAATTCAGCATCTTGTTTGCGTACAAATGTTTCACTTTTAAACTTATTGACTTTACGTAGGTTGTAAAATTCGTTATTCCAACCACACAACTCCATTTGTATGTAAATCTTGTCGGCAGGTATACCTTGCTCACACCACGAGTCAAAGTATTTGACCACGTTTATGTTGTCTATGGATTTTAGTATGTCTACTTCCCTGAATTTTTTGCCAGCTAAAATTTAATTTAATTTTAAAAATAATGTTAAAGATATTCCAAATTTATTAAATATTAATTTTTAATTATAATTTTCTTAATATTACAGTTTTAATTACAGTCGTAAACATTATAAAATAAATATAATTAGTTTAGTAGTTAAATAATCTATATTAATTAATATAATAAAAATTATCAGATACCTTTTAGTGCAATCTCCTTAATAGCATACTGCTCGCCATCCTTTTTACTTTTAACCTGGTACACCTTACCACACCCACCTGAGCCAATAAGTTTAATTTTAATAAAATCGCCACTAAACTTATTTTTAACCGGAATAATACTCAAGTCCATATTAAAATCATTTATTTTACAATAGTTTATAATATTTAATTCACTTTTTCTTAATTACATTAATATTGGAATTCATAGCAAATAATATAATAGTAAGAAATGTGGGAGTAATAGATAATTGCCATAGAAATACATGCAATAAAAGTATTTCTTATAATCAGTCAATTGTGAAAAGATTTATTAATCCATAAAAAAGATTAATATTATTGTCTGAGATAAATATACCTATATATTTATTAAATAAATAATATAATAATTTAAACATTTAGAAAATAATAAATATTTGGATAAACAAAAAATTAAATTTAATATTAGTTTTTCGAAATATGGTTCCCTAAGGAAATTGGTTAAAAATTCCCTAAATGTCAAAAATTGACATTTTTAGGCGTAGTTATCTCAGCAATGGGTAAATGTATTTGGGTTCTCCCAGCAGGGTTCGAAAGATCTTTCAAAATACTAAAAATCATTTGCTGGCACGAACAGTGTATCAAGAACAACAAACCCTCTATTCTGCAAATCAATATTTCCTATGCAATTAATTTATTACTTAATTAATTAATCTTATTGTTTTACACCTTTACCT